TAGAACACGATCATTCACAGCGCGCAATAACCTTGCTCATTGAGTTGCTAGAACACGATCATTCACAGCGCGCAATAACCTTGCTTATTGAGTTGATAGAACACGATCGTTAGTAAAATCATCACGTGTTATTAGCATACATTTTTCAACGCCATACAAAATCTGAAGTCGATCAATTAAAAGTCGGTTAAAAACTGAAAGCTTCATTGCGCATCCTTCAATAAAAACGTAACCTCTTTTCCACACTCTAGACAAATGAAATACGATAAAACCTCTATTTAGCGGGCACCTACTGAGCGGCCAACCTCTTTTGAAATACCAACCTATCTAAAGCGACCATCTATTGAGTCAGCAGCCACTTGAGTGCCCGAGGGTGGCCAGTTAATAGAGGTTCTACTGTCTCATGTATTATGCACCAGCAAACAATCCCACATACATACCTTGATGACGACAGTTCCAGTTGGGGTGTAATTTTCAATAGTCACGACCTTTGAACTACCAATAAATGCAAACTTTGGAGCATTGTCGTTGATGTCTGTAACAGTCACTATCCCTTCCACGTCCGTTGCCATGGGAACTGAACCCCCAGTATGCTTTGCGCGTATAATAAGCTTGTAAAAACTGGTAACCTCGCGATCTAATGCCTGATCCAAGGTGACCTGTCCACTAGAGTCAATAATAAAGATTGGGGTTCCACTTGTAGTGGTGTGTCCACCAACCAACTCGTAAGTGATTCCAGACGCGGAGCCTGATTTTTTAGCCGTAACTTTGAGAACCTTCGTGTTCTTGCCAGCATTTTCTTCTACACTTCCGGTGTATTTTGGACTGTCAAACACGACAGGGGATTCGCTGGGGCCATAAACTGATACGTACACGGTGACTGATGACGTTTTAGGGGATGCGGCTGGAGGAAATCAGAAATCAAGAATCATCATCATGCTTATCAACATCAATATCATCAACACCACTAACATTATCATTATCAACAACTTCACCATCCGYGATCATCATTACCAACGTCATCAACAACGTCATCATTGTTCGGATATTTCCTTGAAGTTCCTTACCAGAGTCTAATGCCTTGACCAACAGTTGGTACCTTACATCTGGTGATAAGGATGATGCACTGTACAACTGATTACCATTATGGATCTTGAATCTTTAGAAGAGCAACGATCAGATGTTATTAGGGTGTTGGCACATTAGTGGTTGCATGACTGCAGACTTCAGTTCATTGAATCAATCATAACCCCTAAGTAATAGATGATACACTCGGCGCGCAAGCAGATTAATGATCCTTTCAATTTAGATAAAACCGCCAATCAAGGGAGACCTACTATACTCTACTCACATGTGATGCAGAGTATGGAAATCAAACCCGAGACCCCAGAGGAGAGAGTCGAGTACACTACCACTACTGTCCTGAAGTAAGTCAATGAATGACTTCTTAAAACCGCCAMCCGATTAGCTCAGTTGGTAAGAGCGTCGGTCTGTTGTGCGGGAGGTCGTGGTTCAAGCCTCGGCCGGACCAACACTCTTAAAATAACTGAGGAGAAGATGCCTTTGTAATTACATTTGCAAATAGTTCAAGTCTTCTCGGACAAGGACTTAAAACCGTAGCCCCTGTCCCCCAACCCTTCCTAACCAACACTAAATGGGGGACATAAAAGAACCTGCTGAATTATTCGTGTAAGAGTAGGAGATTGTCTCCCGGTTCAACATCCTATCCCAAATTTGGAGGCATAATACTAATCTACTAAACATTTCACACTCATGATTGTAAGCTGCACGGCTGCCGTTACCGCCTTAATACGCAGCCCGTAAAGTCCTCCACTGGTTATGAATGTGAAGCGCATTGAGATATTTGAAATGCGCTATATAAGAACCCATTATTTTCTTTTTTCTTTCTCCGTTTGTCCCTACCAACAGCCAAAAGTACACTACCACTACACCACCCTTACCACCCTGTCCAAGCTATCTTGTCACCTTACCTCTGTGACTCTTGTCCTGAACTAAGTTCATAAATGACTTCTCCGTTTGTCCCAGTGTCCCTATCAACAGCCAAAAGTTCCAAAAGCTGCCGATCAGCTGGTGTACTGCTCGGCACAGAAATCCAGTAGGATGTTTTAGAGAACTCCGGTTTATGATCGTTGACATCCTGGACCGTCACAATCACGTTAGCCTTGGCGTACATGTGCTTGAACGCGCGGTCTGTTGCACTCACTTCGAACTTGAAACTCTTTGTGATGAAAGAATCGAGTTTTTTTTCCAGCACCAGCAGACATCCACCTTGTGATTGCACGATGGAGAAGTGCTCGATGGTTTGAAGAGAAGTGACTTTTTCTATTGAGCAATCAAACTGGCCAGGACTAGTATCAGAGTCAATGATACTCATCATTTGACTTCGAATGGTGGTGTCTACGCTGGTGTCCTCAGGTACTGTAATTTCATAGGTAGGTTTGTTAAACTGTGGCGCGTCTTGCTCGCCAGTGATGGTGATGGATACAGGGGTTGACTCGATTTCATTGGAAGATCCACTGGATGCTTCGATGCGCAGGTTGTAGCGATCCACATCTTCGTAGTCAAAGGATCGCAAGGAATATAAACGACCTGGAATGAGAGAGAGAGAGATGTTTAATCGATGTTAGATCTTCATCAATGTTGTGATGGGAAAAAGATTGAAAGGAAGAAAGGAAGGAAGTAAAGAAATGATATAATTGACCTGAGTGGAAGAAAGGAAAAGATAAGAGAAGGAGCAGTCGATGAGAAAATTATATTTTTTATCGGTTGAAATAAAGGAATGAAGAAAAGAAGAAAAGAAAGAAGGGAATAAAATAAAGAAAGAAGAAAATATAAAGAAGGAATCAGTGAAGAAAAAAAGGAAAGAAAGAAATAAGAATAAAGGAAGAACACAAGGAGATATAAAACCGAAAGAAAGAAAGATTGGCCAAAAGAAAAAGGAAAAGCATTTTGGTAGTGGTAGTAACATGACGCCTATTTAAACATTCAACGTAAGWGATATTTGTAAACGTAAAAGGGCTGTCATAAAAATATCGAAATAATCCTTAATATAAACGAGAAAAAAAGCCAATGATCTGCAGGGTAATATTCTTGTTTTCTTGCACGCGGTAAAAGGTAAAAAGGCGACCAAAATTGCAGGAAGCCGTATAAATCAAAAGGGAAAGTGGCAGGATTACATCAATAAACATCATGTGAAAAAATGAAAGTCCAAAATAGATTCCAAGGCGCGGACTCTAGGCGAGTGCTATACAGGTCATCATAAAAATGTATTGATCAACCTTCCTTTTTAGGAAGTTCAGCCAAGAGCCGAGTAAGGCCAGGAATTTTAGTCGTTTACTTAAAAGTCACTTTGTTTTAACTTGCTCCCTGGAAAATGGCGTTTATATCAGACGCGCGCATTAACCTTGTTGTAAAATAGCTGATTTAATTTTGCCTAGAATGTTTTGCTGGAGAGACAGCCAGAGATAAACTGAAAATGACCAGCCAGCGCGCATAAATTCAATGTTAACTGCTTGTTTGTATAACAGGATTCATCTATATATTTGTTTTTCACAGTGACCGGCGCTTGCCTCGATGAATTGATGCTGAAGCCACACACAGATGTCACAGATCACGACCGTAATGCTGCAGTCCATGTGGGAARGCTAACAATGAACTTTCTGCCAATCTAGCTTACAAAACAGTAAAACACCCACAAGAAATACRTTGAACAACCCATTTTGGAAAGTAAATACTTCAATAAATCTGGTCGGCATTTTTAAGTTCGCTTTCCTATTCGTTGAAATAGCACGTTTTACGCCAACAATATTACACCAGAAAACCCCAAATGTTGAGCTTCAATTAAATCTTGAAACGCTTTAATAGAACAATGACCATCTAAAATACCAATGATTGACCTTTAGTGCTACTTATGGTCGGTCGTTCAGGAAGCATGGTGAAGCCGGTATTGTTTATTCATTCGAGTCTTAAAGCCGGCTCATGATTCTGAGCCATRCCAAATTGTCACCAAGTTGTGGAAAAAACCGCTTCTAAAACAAATTTTAAAATAMATCTTTTCATTTAGAATTTTCTTTGATTTTTTTACTTAAATGGTTGTGCTTTTCAAAACGTTTAGTAAAGGAAAGCATCTGCAAGGAATCGAAAACATTTAACGATAGATTAGCATGTCTGCTAAAAGTAATTGCGAATGTCAAACATTTATGAGGTATTGAAATTTTTTGAGTGTCAATATTGAAAGAAATGAACTTTGTACATTAAAAATATTTTTTGGCAAAGAAGAAATTTCCAGATCAAATTCGTGTGTCAATCAAGTGAATAGTACAAAGTGGTTATTCATTTTGAATCRCCGCAAATAAATTCATTTAATGACAAAAGGGTTCGAGTGCCTTGAACTGAATTCGCTTGAGTGACTCCTCAAGTGCACCTCTTTTTTTCAAAGTAAAAGAAGATAWTTTCTGAACTTTGGTGATCGAGCTTTTCAAGTTTTTGATACAAAACAATGAGGTATGATAACCAGTTCTGTATCGAGAGTAATATTGTGTGTGGTGAAGATATTCAGCCCATGGCCACCTTTGAATTAGACTGTCAATATTGACAAAGAATTAAAATGCTTTGAAATAATGATTGCTCAGTCTGCTAATGCTAGCATTTATGAGCATTTATGCAAAGCTAACTGCTTCAAGCTTCAGTTTAGGCTTCGTTTCTACTGTCAAAACATTGGAAAGCTAGAAATAATCTGCATTCCAAGATCAGTAAGGACTATGTTTACTGTTGGAAGTGGTTGCCGAAGGAACTTTTGTTGAAGTATTTAATTAAAGTTTACAAGGMAATTGAGGAAGTCTGTATCGGAATGATTTAATACGAGAAGGCATTCTCTTTATGTGTTTTACTGAGGACAAAAAGACTTGTTTGCTCGTCGTTATGAATACTGCAGCTTCCTTCCTTAGTGTCGTAGTGTCATCATTTGAAGGTGTTTCTGRCTAAAATATTTCCTCAAAAACATCTTTTAGATAAAATATAAAGTTAAACAATGATGTTTTATGGGCAAATATCTCACATATTACAAACCTTTCTAGAAAAATAAACTTCATAAAGAAACATAAAGGAATTTTGGAAAATTGATGATATAATCAGTAGACCAAACAAATGTCTCTTCCTAATAAAAATAAATCATCTCTTTGACACGGATGTTGCGTTACAAAAAAAAAAAAAAATCGTTGTTCTAATATAAAATAATCTTGAAGTAGTAAAAGTTGTCTTAAGGAAGGAGAATAAGAAAGGGGAACGAAATTACGGGATGATGAAATCAGCGAAACAGTTTAAAAGGAAGCCCGTAAGAAATTTTGAATAAAGAATATGTAATGACGGTAAAATTCCATTTATTTACTCACGCCTACGACAAACCCAGCCCTACCCAAATTCAGTCTTCCACCTTTCCTGAACTATAACCTACATATTTGGTTACAGAAACTTAATCAAAGGTTTTTTTTTCTAAGAGAATTTCAGTTTGCACGACTATAAATTTGATGACTTTAAATYGTAGTTCAACGCTTTGATAACAGCAAAGAACAAAGCTTGAATGCAAATGCTATCAACCCTGAAGACTTGTTTTGCTTATAAATGCTATTCCTTTGTTTGGTCACATTATCTAGATCCCTCTTCGTGTGGTTATRTAGAAAAATATTTGTTGGGGTTAGAATTTAATTGACACACGAATAAACTGCTAGCCTCATGGGCGGCATTGAAAACATCGCAATAAACAACCGTATAAAACTAATAAAAATTCACAGCGATAAGATATAAACACAGTTGGAAACCGTATACGCCTTTGTTTCTCGGATTTCAAAACAATTTAGGAACAATTCAGTTCGATTCCTCCACGCTCTCTTTGTCTGGAGTTAACGTTGAAGTTATGACGATTTTTAAGTTTTATTTTTTATCTCGAGTAAAAAAATCTATTTTTCGGCAAACTAAAAAGAGAAAAAACCCATGGTGCAGAACCTTGAACTGTTTTTGTCATTATGCAAAATTTCCGACTTCTTGAATAACTTTCGTCGGCAATGGTCACGACACTCAATTTTAATCCTCTTAAACTCAAATAATCTTCTATCATACTAAAAATATTTAAGTGAATTTTTCCCGTCATGACATCAAAAAAATTTATATACAAAAATATCAGACTATGATTTCAAAGTCCGTGATGTAATTTTAAGGATCGATTTGTCAAGACAAGACAGTCCCTTCATTCTGGAACAAATATTGCACTCCAMAAATTGTATTTGTTCTTCTTGTGCAAGTTTTCACACTTAATTTCTGCAATTCATTTTTCTTAATCAAAATATCATGGTGAAAAATTGCTGTGAATACTTTGCAGCATCTAGCAAGTGTCTCATCTTATCAGAAAAGATGATACTATGTTAATTGAAGGCATCAAGTTTCACGCTAAATTTCTGCAATTTCATTTTCCTTAATCAAAATATCATGGTGAAAAATTGCTGTGAACACTTTGCAGCATCTAGCAAGTGTCTCATCTTATCAGAAAAGATGATACTATGTTAACTGAACACATCAAGTTTCATGCTAAATTTCTGCAATTTCATTTTTCTTAATCAAAATATTATTATGGTAAAAGTTTTTTGTGCACATTTTGCAGCATCCAAAAAGGTGTCTCATCTCATCGTACAAGATGATACTATGTCAACTTTCATAATCAAATTATGAAAGAAAGTTCACTTAATCTAATTTTACCAAACTATTAAGAGCTAGTTAGGTGCAAGATGCACTCTTACCTGATGTAGCATCGAGTCCAAAAACATTATCTGCTCCCGAAGCGATCTTGTACTTTACCTCCTGAGAGTTGGAATCCACAGCAGCAATACACATGAGATTAGGTATGATTCCCATATTCTCTGGAACCGTTGCTCGATATGGAGTGTTTTTGAAGACAGGCGGTTTATCAGCCTTGCTTGTAATGGTGATATTTAGCTGGCCGGTGATGGTGTCCCCTGAGCTTGCTGTAACGGTAAGTTCGAATCTCCGGATGCTGCCTTCAAGGTTGCGTGCAGTGTTCACTATCCCTGTCTGAGGATCAACCTTGAAGTTTTTAGAAGCATCCGTTAAAGCATAAGAAATTGGTTGGGAATCACCATCCGGATCTTTCGCAGATATCACAGTGACAAAGGTGTTTTCAGCTGATTGCTCGGGTACCCTGGCCAAGTAGATAGGTTGTGTGAAATAGGGGTTATTGTCATTAACATCGCTGATGTCTATCATGAGAAACATTTTGGAGGAACGAGGAAATACTGCACTATCAATTGCTGTGATAACAAGTTCGTAGTGGGACTGCTTCTCACGATCCAACAACGCTGTTACCGTCACTCGTCCATCGTCTGGGTTAATCCTGAAATATCCAAGTCCTGAACCTTCTTCTAGGTAATAGTTTATTTTACCGTTAGATCCAGCATCGGCGTCCTTGGCAGCTGCTGTATAAACGAGTGTGTTATTAACAGCGTCTTCTGCAATTGACACTTTGCCTTGCTTCGTAGCAAATGTTGGAGAAAAATGGTTCTCGTCAACATCCTGAATCTCTACRACAAGATTGGTTGTTGCAGTCAAAGATCCTTGGTCTGTCGCAGTCACTATTACAGTGTATGTTTTACTCTCAGTTTCATAGTCCACCACCTTATTCAGTGTTACAATCCCACTGTTTTGATCGATGATGAATTTATCACTTCCTGATAGGGAATACCTCAGACGTTTATTGGGACCTGTAGGGTCATTATCCGAGGCTCTCACAGCAAGTAGGGCTGCTTTGACTGGAAAATCTTCACGTATACTAAATTTGTATGTTGGATAGGCAAAATAAGGGTTTGTGTTTACGCCTGGGTCTTGTGTATCTGGAGGAGGGTAGCCTGGTATGTCGCTAGATAACCTTACGGTAACAGTCGTTGGAGAGCTTGTTTTTGCAGGAGAGCCTCTGTCTCTAGCGTAGACCGTAAGCGAATGTGACGACTTAACTGTGTAATCAAGCTCTCTTACCAATTTAATGTCCCCCGTTATCGCATCCACTGAAAAATATTCGTCAAGCGGGCTCATGTAGTAATAGATCCCTCCATTTGTACCAACATCCTCATCTGTCGCCTTTACTCGCATAACTTTCGTCATCAATGGCGTGTTCTCCACTATTTCGATCGAGTATTGGTTCTCTTCGAATTTAGGTGCATTGTTATTGCTGTCTTCAATGGTTATCTTGACTTTCGTGCTGCCAAACAGAGGAGGATTACCGCCATCCTCAGCTTCAATTGTGAGTATAATAAATGGTGTGTTTGGATCACGCACGATTGGAGTACTCGTGGTTTTAAGTTCAAGAAACTGTCTAGTCCCTACTGACTTTGTACTGGCTTGAAAGTAACCTCTTTCATTACCGCTTATGATTTTGTATGCCTTTATTCCACTGGTATCTCTGTCTTCGGCATAAAATTTTTCTAGGCCCTCAACAAGAGTGTTCGCCGGGGAACCCTCGGTCACGGTGCCGTGATAAGTCGGGAAGGCAAAAGTTGGTGGAAAGTTGTTGATATCTTCAATGGCTATTCTCAGTGTCTGAGCTTTTCCACCTTCGGTAGCACCTTGAGGCCTCTGAAGTACAGTAAGTTCGTATTTGTTGGTTTTTCCGATCGTGTAGGTTAAAGTCTGTGCTGTGGTTACAACACCATTCTCCGAAATGTGAAAAAGTCTTAAAGCCTCGGCAGCGTCGCTATCCTGTGGTTTGTAAAAACTGAAAATATCTGCACTAGATGAAATAAAAGAATGAACAACWGAATTTCTAGGTCGACCTTCAGAAACCTTTTCCTCTACGATTTGTTGTCCATTTGCTGTTTGAATAACACAGATTAACGTGATCCAATATAAAAGACAAAGAGTTGGACGATGATAACGACCTTTGAGAGCCATTTTGTGGTACCATTAACAGTAATGAAGCTTGGACGAGTCGAGAAAGGCCAGCATTTGGTGGATTGTTTGCTCAAAGAGCGTCGATCAGACTCCTCTAACCTCGATACTCAACAGAGCTTAACTGTAACAGACTACTCCTCTTGAATTCTTTCAAGTTGAAGATCCTTCTCGTCTATTGGCTCTTCGAGGATTCTAACTGTCAAGCAGACGAATTACTAGCGTCTAGTGCCTACGAGGTCAAGTCATAAACAGAAAACTCGAGGTATTTCAACCAAAATTAACGATGATCCGAATGGCTTACGATTTGGGTGGAATATGTGACGCAGGGAAATATGAGATGCATAGCCGTTGCTCTGGGAGGCAAACTGATGGCTACCGAKATGGTGTTACGTATGCAAGTGAAATCGTAATCCATCAATTAAGTGTCATTTCATTCATTGGAAAGGTGCGGTTCTACATTTTGTTGTGATGAGTGAAGCGGCTATTGTTTTCATCAGCCTGTCATGGACCATTAGCTACAATGATTAGTTTTCGCACAAATCATTTACACGAATTCTAGTCYCAAAACCGTCTTTTGATTCTACCCACGAATTTCTTCGTTTAACCTTCTTGCCATAAAGCAAAGAGAAAGCCAATCAATTCGACTAAATGGTTCCGCTCTCTTCTCAAATTCTTTTCAATCGGCAAACAAAGTTGACAGGCAAGTGAGAAGACAGATCAACAATTACTGAAAAACTGTTTGCTAAAGTTGTTCTAAGATAAATAATCATTAGCAAAGTTGTAGGTACTCTTTTTGAAGAGACAGACGTGACRGCTACTTAAAAGAACAAACAACGAAAAGAACTTGGGCGCTCAGTTTGAGAATGTTTGAACTTCGTTCACGGAAACCACAGTGTAGGCTTTCAATTCCGCGGTTCGGCTGGAAATAGCTTGGTATCAAATTATTATGTCCAAAAATACTTCACTGTTAACCCCCATGGAGCTTGACCCGCTTCGATTGTATAAATTCAGTCATGTTTTCCCTGGAAAACTAAAACTGTTTCTTGGTTCGGCAAGTTTGTAAGCGAAAGATTACTACAGAAGAATTAAACTTGTATCAAATTGTTGCTAGCCTTTTTACATTTTGTTTTTATTATCGCTACCTAAATCAGAACCAATCTTACTGTATTTATTGAAAAAATTGTTTCTYGAAAAATATGTGAACAATGTTTAAGCTATGGAATGATATTACAAATCAAATTCTTTTAATAATTTTGTATATTTTTTAAAACATTTATCATCTTTGTGCGAATTTGATAAAAAACGTTTTGATGCTCGCGTCCGTTCCTTCCGAAACATCCTGCAATCRWGGTATCATGTTGCYGTCTTTCATAACGAAACAGCTGTTYACAAAGAAGAGAAGTCCATTTAATCTAGTATTTGTTWATTTTTGGTTATATTTTCTTATTTTGAAGGAATGTTATTTTAGYAAAACCACTTTATTCACTGTTATTTTCTTTGCGATTAGTTTCTGGTCAGTTTCGAAGAATGCAAACCCCAATGCAACAGCCGTGACACTCAAGGCTGTCAACCTTAGTGGACCACCGTGACATTATCACGCTGCAAAATGATTGCAGCGAGAGAAAAAAGATTCCGTTTATTCTTACAAGCAGAAAAGATAACAAAACAGACAAGACAATGGTACGACATTTCAAAGATTCAGCACTAAAGACAGAAACATACGCATTCCTAAAAGAGGTCGTTGCAGAGAAGCCATCTTGGCAAGGCCAATATCGTTGCTATGGTTTCCAATGCAAATTTGAACCAGTAGAATAAGCCCTTGAGCAAACAGCGATTATTAATCGTAAGTGCATTCTTTGACCATGACGTAAGAACTTTTACTTTGTTTGAATAGCTGGAATGGAATTTATACCCGAAAGAAAATTCTAGGAAAGTGCATGGATATTTTTCCAATTTCATTTTCTATCATTATGTAAGAACTTTTTTTTAGATTTTTGTCGTAGTTTATTAAATGTTTTAGCAAAAAGAAAAATAATTGGAAAGTAAATAATATTTTTAAGTTTCAGTTTTTAAATTTCAGTTTTTTAACAATCTGAACATTGCTAGTTCAAAAGTGAAATCCAAAAATCTAACAATGGAAATGAAAAAATGATGGAAATTAAGCCTGGTAATAAATAGTTTTTAGGCCAGAAACTTGCAAGGCTAACTAAGTGTTAAGGTCAAAACAGGTGCAAAATCTCACAAAACTCGATTTACAGGGGAGGGGTGAGGGTTACCCAGGACCCACCACCTCTGCAGGTGATATCCAGAATTTGGTCCTGAAACATCTTGAAACTAAAAGTTAGATCACAGAAATGAATGTACTGTCTGTTTTCATGAATGATACGAAGTCAGATGTTTTTAGTGATCAAAACAACCAATGGAAAAAGCGTGCAATCATTGACGTCAGCTTATTTATCTGTCCTCTTATATACCCCTAGTATGTGATGACAAAGCAGCTCAATTTGGTGGACTAAACAAAGGAATTTTAATCTCATGAGAATTTGAAACCTATTCTTATGTTCTCCAATTGAGCTGGATTCTGACATGCTTTGGTACCATACATAAACTAATAAAAATGGGTTCCTATTTTGGACCATTTTTGACATTGTTCTAAAGCTGGTTACAATGTGATACATCTGAATTAATCTAACAACAAKTTTTATTTTTCATGAATTAAAATTTCAAAAAATTACCTTGGTTTTTATCCCTAAGCCCTGGTTCAATTTCTGCTTGTACAAGATTACTTTCAGACTTGTGTGAGTGCTGTCATTCTGTGTGCTGTCTCTGTTATCGCTGACGGAGGAGTGCTAACTGGTAAAGGAAGACAATATAACACTATACTACAACCTGTTCAACTTGTTAATAAACTGTTAAAACTGCTATCTAGGAAATTCTTATATTTCAACTAAGGTAACCTATTGGCTATTTTTCTCCTTTAACATACAGTCATATATATTCATTTCAATAAAGTGAGTCACCTAACAAAGCTACAATGCTGAATCTAGAAAGGTCAGATACAGTATCATTTATATGTGTTTCAACTGTTATAACAATATTAATGGACAGGAGCTAGATCTTTCAACAGTTGCAGTTTCAGCTCCTGTAAGCATCTTCAAGCTTGTTTCAACAAACTTATTAGATATGAAATGTTTCTCATGATATTCAGCAATCTAAGCTTTCTAGGTTTTTGGTCACCACTTTATTAGAATAAGTATATGAACCTTCTCTTTCTCTTAGATTCCAATTTGATCTATGAGTTAAGTGTGCCCTGATTTTGATCAGCTCAGAGGTTGTTTCAGGGTTAAATCTGTAAGTTAGCCATGCCCTGACTTTGTTGTTTAAGGGTTCGTTCCATGAGTTATCTACAGGTATGCCCTGACTTTGATCAGTCCAGAAGTTGTTTCAGGGTATCAATACAATTTGAGTCTTGTAAAACTGTCAATAAACAAACTTCCCAAAACTGAAAAATTGCAGTAACCAACAAATTCCTTGGAATTCCCCCTCTCCCCCCCTCCCAATTTTTTAATTGAAAGTTTGTCATACTGCTTTGTTATAGAAATTATCCATACCCCCTCCCCCAAGGAATTTGGAATTTCATAGGGGGGGTGTGGGGGTCAGATAAAAAACAAAATTACACACCTCCTTTGGGGGGGG